TCACACAGCCTCTTTTGGTATGCTTCTTTCATCTAATATCAAATTACTAAGAGAAATCAACTTCAGTCTTTTGTGTGTATGTACAATGTGTGTGCAGGTGTGTGTGTGTGTGTGCTGATGCACATGTTGAGGTCAGAAAACAACCTCAATTGTCAGTCATCTTCCACCTTGTGTTGGGGGGTGGGGGGCAGGGTCTCTTTTTTGTTTTGCCCCTATAGATGCCTCAGCAGCTGGCTCGAGAGTTTCTAGCTAGTCTCCTGTGCCTATCTCCCATGTCTTGACAGGAGCATCAGAATTACAGACACACACTACCAAACTGGGCTCAAAGTGGGCTCTGGGAATTTGAACTCGAGTCCTCAAATTCCCACGGCAAGCACTTCACCCACAGAGCCGCCTCCCAATCGATTTTACTTGCTGCTGTTGTCCCTGTGTTTGTCCTGAGTAGAATGTTTTATGGTATGAATTCACCCCAGTTTGCTCATCTGCCCCCTCCACCTGCCACTAACGGGCAGCTGGGCTCCTTCCAAGCTTGTGGTGATATCACCACCAGGGCACAGAGCTGCAGCCTGCTCAGCCGTGTCTCTCTAAGGCACACATGCCTGGGAGTAGAACTGCTTGCTGGACCACACCAAATGTGACTCCTCAGCCTCAGAAGAGCAGAGGGTAGCAAACTGACTATGGTCTCTAGCACTTAGATGCACGCTCCCTCCCCCAACCCCTTCAGTTTGGTTTCTTTAGGTATCAAATATCAGCGCTACCAAAATATTTAAATCAAGTTCTTGTCTTAACCCTTGTGCAGCATCTCAGGTGAATTCTCCTGTGTGGAAAAGAGGGCTAGACAAAAGGAAGAAAATCTAAGTGGAAGAAGGACCCTAGTCTAGACAGTGCGGTAGGATAGCCTAATGGGAAGAGACACCCCAGAAGCTGATTTACTTTTGACAAGTAGGAGACAGAAATGGAGGTTTAGGGTAGCGCTAAAGCCCTTTTCCCATCTACGATGCTCACTCAGCCTCTTCTGTCCCATTCTCACAATCACTGCATGTGAAAAGACCAAAAACTTGGAAACCAAAAGCCCAGTTTGTAAGTCGGTGATTTCAAATGACAGCGAAACACCACCACACAGTCTGACCAGTCTCTGTGCCCACAAGCTGAGTGTTTCCCGGCCTGACCAGCTCACAGATGAACCGGATCCCTGTTCTGCCTCAAGGAGCTTGGAGTTTCCTCATTTCTAAGACAGGATCAGGCATGAGGTGCCCAAGGGATAACAGCGCCGAGAAAGAAGAGATGTCCTCTGTAGAAGGACTCAAAAGTTAAGAACTACAGAAGCCTTCTCGGAGACCCTTATGAAGAGGAACAGGGAGCAAAGAATATACTTAAAACAATTATGAACTCAGTTTCTGACTCACATCCCTTGACGTTCCCATAGTCTCCTATTTCTCACTTTGGGGGTAGGTTGTTTTTTTTGTGACAGGGTTTCTCTGTGTAGCCCAGCTGTCCTGGAATTCACTCTGTAGACCACAAAGATCCGCCTGCCTCTGCCTTCCTCGTGCTGGGATTAAAAGCGTGTGCCACCAACACCTTGCCTTTCTTAAATGTTTCCAGCCTCTGGTCATAGGCAAGCACCAGAGGAGCTCAGGGATCACCACTAAACATTCTTATCTGCATTCTCTTTAGTTTTCATTCCACATACACGGACAGAGCCAACCTCTACCAGGTACCTTGACCTGTACTGAGCTCTGGATACATGGAAGGACAAGACGGCTCCGGTCTCAGCCTCCATCCCACACCCTATCTTCAAGGGTGGACAGAAGATTTAAAAAGACTATTCGCCCATCACTCAGAATTCATTAGGCAGCCACAGCCTCTCCCTTTTCCCCCTTCTCCCCTGAAACATTTTCAGGAAATTCTGCAAGATGAAAGAAATGACTGCTTGCTGCATAATTGAAAGAACCGGGACCAGCTTCCCAGGTAGCCAAGTGGCTCTCAGACCTCAGAGACCCAAGCCTCAGGTGCTTCCCACACATCAGCCTCCAATCTGATACTTGATAGCTGGTGGTTTCCAGAGTCAAACAAATGTCAGGAGTTTTATGAAGGAAGGCAGGAAGCAGAAAGGGGGGCAAGGACTGGGGTCTAGGCCTCCAGGGAGCTCAATTAGTGAGTCAGATAGTTAAAGCGAAAGGGTATGTTCTCAGTTTCCTAGAAAGCCAGCTGGGGAAGATGGCAGTGCCTAAGCCTCTGTCACTCAAAAGACTACGAGAGGAGACCTCACGGTGCCCAAAGGGAATTCGGCAACAAGCCAGATGTTTCTGCTCTTCCTGTGAATCCACTGCCCTCAATCCACGTTTCTGGGGCCACCAAGAAGCCACGGAAGAGAGCTGGTGTCTCTCGAGACAGGGTTGAAACCCAAACATAACCCTTTATCAATACAGCTAGGAAAGATTCCTCCGCAACCTCCCCTGGTGTGTTGGGGTTTAGAATTTTCTCACGGAGTCATCCTTCCCTTTAGCTGGGCACACACACTAGTCCATACAAACCTCCCAGAGCCATGCACACACCATGTGGAATTCAAGTAAGGTAGTAAGCCCCGTGTTTCACTTCCCTGCCTCCAAAATGGGTCTAAAAAGACTGCCTCTTTTATACTTAAGAGATTGTATAAAAACGCCAAGCCCAAATGGCCCTCACTGTTGCTCATAATAGCTGTTGCTCACATAGCCACATGCCTAAGGAGTGTTCCTTCCAGTCTAGAGATGACTCAGTAGTTACAAGCACTGGCTGCTCTTTCAGAGGACCCAAGTTCAGTTCTCTGAACTCAAGTAGTGCATCTCACAACTCCAGTTCCAAGGAAGCTGATGCCTCTGGCCTCTGAGAGCACCTACACTCACATGCCCATATTCACCTACAGATATACACATGCACACGTAACTAAAAAGAACAAACAAATCTTTTTTTAAAAAAAGAGCCATGTCTCCTTAGTACATTCTAAATTTCAGTGTGTGTGTGTGTGTGTGTGTGAGAGAGAGAGAGAGAGAGAGAGAGAGAGAGAGAGAGAGAGAGAGAGAAAGCGAGAGACAGACAGACAGACAGACAGACGGTGAGCTGGGATATAAGCAAACCTACTTACAGGTCCTGCTTATGTTCCATCACTTTTGTCAAATTAGCAAACTAAAAGAAGTTGTCGGGAAACTTAGAGTCTGTTTGCCCTAAACTCCTAACTTTCTCCTAAAAGGTGCTTTCTCCAGTTCCAGGAGTTACGGAAGGAAAGCCATATGGCTTGAGACATTAGACATGCCCAGCAGCAAACAAGCCCCCCACCATTTGTTGGAGGGCCTCTCTCCTTTCGACCCTCGTGTGGGCGGGCATCCAGATTGCAGTCGGGGTGCTCTGGTCTGCATCTCTGTCTTGACTGTTCCTAATTATTGGAGGGAACGCCGTGGCTCTCTCTTGCCTGACCTCAGAATTTAAGAGTTTCAAGTCCTCATATCAAGCCATCAGCTTCATTTAAAAGGCATGCTCATCTGCATCCATAAAAGTCGCTCCTGGAGCTCTGACTTGCCCCAGCTTTGGGAATGCTGTCGAGGATTTATGACACACCCTGGATCTAATCTGCTGCACTTTAACTGCTGCTGTTGCACATCTGGTCATAAAAGCAAGGGCCGGCCCAACACGGGGACAAACACTTTTCTTTCCTAAGTGGCTGCAAATCTGATTTCCCAGTGATAGGTGGGCTCAGATGTAATCAGTCGGCATCTGGGCAGTCATTAAGTCAGTCAGGTTTTGCAAAGTTTTTCTTCCATGCAGGACAGCTATAAAGATGATCCCCGCATAGCAAAAGCCAGGAATAAAGAAGAGCCATGGGAACAGGTGGTAATGGGGATAGCCATCCAGGAAATGGGGCCACAGGATATCCAGGAAAGAAAGCACACTTTGGTTGGGAAGCCAACCCTGTTTGTTCAGAGGTCCAAGCTACTTTCCCAGGAGGGTTCCCGCAGAGTGCGGGCAAACTGCTACCCGGAGGTCCAGGCTCTATCTGACTTACTCTGATGCTTGCCCAGAGATTGCCTCCCTTATGTTTTGCCAAAGGAACCACTAGGTGGTTTAACAAATACAGTTTTAAGGCAGTGAAAAATTTTATTAGACCAATAGGAGGGGGCAGGGAGAGCAATAATTTAGACCAGAAATGAACACAATGCTGTGGGTTCCCGTTTTACAATGCCCTGGACAATCCGTCCTGTGCACAGAATTGGCACATTTCGTGTGGTTCAGAAACTCCAATCAGACCAAGGTTCAACCGATCCAACCCAGGGGAGGAGATTCTGGAATACTGTGCAGCTCTCCCTCCCGAACTTCTCCACAGCTCCCCACCCACCCTGCCACTCCTCCAGGGCCAGGCCGGCAGGAGGGGGCATTAAAATTATCTGCTGTGGGCTTTACGAGCGAGCGGCAATTGCTTTTTAAAACAACAACAACACAAGGTCCTTGTGTGACTCGCGGGTAATCTAAAACTCTAGGCAGAGTACCCTCCCGCCCCCCTCCACACACAGACACACACACACAGAGACACAGACACATACACACACACACACACACACACACACACACACACACACACACACGCACGCACGCACACACCCTCTGCCAGCCAAGAACGCCAGCACGGGGGACCGGTGCAGCGACACCATGGGGAAGCTCTCCTCCAGCAAAGGCCGGGCTCCCACCGACCTAGGAGGCGCCTCTGGAGGGGTGGGGGATTCTTGAAGGAAAATACTCGGGAGGAGTTAGGGGAAGAAAACCCATCGGTGACAGGTCGTGGGAGTCGGTGCTGCTAAAAAAGGCGGAGGGGGGGGGAGTGAAATTTTATTTCAGCAACTTCTCCAAGAGGCCCGCAAGGGACTAGACAGTGGAGTCAGGGACAGGTCTGTCACCTCCCTTCCCCCTCCTGCAGATGAAAGACCCCTCTCCCCGCGCAGGTGGGCGCGCGGCCGGCCGGGAGGCGCACTTACCCTGGGGCCGGTGGTGCGGTGGCCGCCGGCCGAGGACAGCTGCACCACCACGAGCAGCAAGTGGGGCATGAGCAGGCGGACGCGCGCGGGCAGCATGGTGCCAGCCGAACCAGGCAGCCGCTAGCGGGCAGCGGGCAGGGGGCGCGGGCTGGCTTCGAAGCGCTTGGGGCGGGGGCGACCCTGGCGGCGGCGGCGGCGGCGGAGTGCGGCCAGAGAGCCTGTAGCAGGGGCTGGCGGAGCCTGCGGCCGGGGGTCACGGTCATGAACGGCGGAGTCCGAGAGCTGGAGCGCGAGCGTGTGCTCTGCGCGTGGCGCCTGCTGCGCTCGGCCTGGCCGCGGCCACAGCAGGTTGGATGTCGGAGCCTGGGCCATGGGAATTCCCGTTATAAACCCCGGGAGGGGAGGGGCGGGGCCCGGCGGGGCTGACTGACGGGTCCAGAGGCCTGTAGCAGCCGACCCTCCGGCAGGTGGAAGCCAATGGGAGAGAGACGAGAGGGGCGGTTCGTGGTCAGCCCCCCACCTTGGAGCTACACTGGTCTCCCGGCCCGAGTGGACTCCAGCAGGGGCTGGGATACAGAGCAACTTTCTCTTGCCAAGTCCTCGCTGGGAACCTCCGAGCGCTCCAGCAGACTCAGCCCCTCCAGAATGGTCACCTGGCTAATAAGGAAGCCTTAAGCACTTACCGGGTTAGCTCGTAGGCTTGAGTTGTCGCTACAGCTCCGTGAAGAAAAGCAGGGAAAAATAGCTCGGTTTTCCAAATGACACAAAGACCTTGAGAAATGTTTCCCGGCGGCCACAACTCTAGAGGACCACCTGGGAAGCCACCAGGTACCGCCCACAGCGTGGGCTGTGACATTCGTTGGCAAGAGGAGTGGGGACGTTCACTTCTTTCAAAAAATAAAATAAAATCTTCTTACGGGTGGCATCCGAGTTCCACAGCGGGTGCCTGAGGGAAGTCTCACAGAGGCAAAATGAGGCCCCCTAAGGGTCTGGTAATGCGCACCTGTGGCCCTGTGGTCCACGTGACCTGGGATCAGAACCCGGGAACCCTGTTTTACCAATCTAGCCTAGCCTCTCTGTGGCCTGGCACGCTGAAGAAAACGATCAGAGGAGCCCTGGTCTCTTATGGGGAGGAGGAGTGGTCTGTAAGAGCAGAAAATCTAGACACCTCCAAGGAAGGAGCGATCTTTCCTGGGAGCCTAACCTTGGAGAGGGGAGGCTAGCTTGGCCCTAAGCAGACCCGCCAGGAGCTGGAGGTCTGCCCGCAGTGGTCCCGGGGACCAGCCTGGATGTGGTCATCAGCTCCTTGACCCAACAAGGTGTCTGAGCCTTCCTCACAAGGGACCCATGATAATCTCCAAATGTGGAACACGGTTCTTGGTATTGGTTTCCACCAGTCTAGGCCGGTCCCTTGATGGGGGAGAGATCCATTTCTCCAACCAGAGTGCAGTAAAACGCAGGCTTCGCAGCTCCCTGACTGCCCTGAGAGGTCCTGACAAAGACTAGCTCTGCTCCCCTCCAGTTCTCTTCTCGGTTATATGAGCAAGCTTCTCAAGGAGCACACACACACACACACACACACACACACACACACACACACACCTGGCTGCGCACACACACACACACACACACCTGGCTGCACACAAATCTCACTCTACAGCCAGTCTTTCTGAACAACAAACCAGAATGCACCGCTCTGCTCAAAGGGCTTTGCACCACCCCCATCGGCCTCAGACAGAAATGGCCAGGCAAGAATAACGGGTACTCCAAACAAAATAAAGATCATCTCTAAAAAGAAGTGTCAATTTTCAGGCCTGACTCTAGAGCAAGATCCCACCACCAACACGGGGGTGAGGTCTCAGGTCTGCCATCTAGTGGTAAAACCTTGAACAGGACTCATCTGAGATCTAGTTCCTCCTCTGTAAAATGGGAGTATTTAAACAGCATCCATGCCATGTGAGTTACTGGCAAGACTAAAAGACATGGGGGTGAGCAAAGCCCTTGTAATGACATATGAAGAAAAAAACCTACTACTTCACGGTTTCTTTAAGATTGGGATGATTCTACACATAGAGCAAATATTTCTACTTTACCGGCAAGTCAGCGGGCAATGCATCAGATTGACTTGTCTGGTGGCCTCATCTTGTTAGTAGACGACAGAGCCAATTTTCTAGGCTAGGCTCTTGGATTCTATCCTGCCTACGCCACATGCAGTCTCCTCTCGCTGTATCCCTGGGAATTTCTCTGGAGACTATGCTGTATCCCTGGGAATTTCTCTGGAGACTATGCTGTATCCCTGGGAATTTCTCTGGAGACTATGCTTTGGCAAGCACCAAGTGGGAAGGCATAGGCAACAAAGGTCGGGCCCTTGTGATATGGAAGACTAAGGATTTAACCAACTGGACTTGGGACACTTGTCCAGCCGCAGTTCCCGTGCACCTTCAGTGTTCCCCCACAGGGGGCGCAGCAGGCTGTAGGCTTCTCCAGACTGCCACCTGGCCACATGCAGCCATGGAGCTGATCCACAGCCTTCTGGTGTTGGAATTATTGAGAAAACTGTTGGAGTCAGCAAGCATGCTCAGATGGCCCCTGGTATCTGGCAGTACAAAGCCCCCATGGGGAGCATTGCGGTAGTGCTTTCCATCCCCAACCCCACACGCTCCTTTCCAGCCAGAAAACTCATTTCCAAACAGTCACTGGTCCAAAAGTCGACATCGGGCTGGCCTTCAACCATGGAACTTAATTTAAAATACAAGCAACTGCTTTCCAGATACTTTGCTCAGTGAGGATTTTCTTTCCCGTTGGTCGGCATGCAGGGCCTGTCATGACTCTGGTCACCATTCTTGCGACACATTTTCTTTCCCCAACTCCTCCAAAGCCCAGAGAGACTCAGAAATTTAGAACCCCTAGTCCTAAACAGCATCTCTCTGCCAACCAGGCTCAATCTTGTGATCCAAGCAAAAAAGCAAAACTAACAAGTTGTCTTGCCCTGGAGGCCAGGTTTATGACCCCATAATAAATCTAGCTGGCCTGGCAGTTTATTTGTCCAGTTTTAGTAATACTCTCTGCCCTTTGTGACTTCTCTTTTCAAGAGGATATTTTAATTGGAGAAAAATAATTCTTTATATCATAGCTCAGGTCTTTGGAGGGCTCAGGTCTGTAGTGGGGAATGGCAGTCTGAAATGTCTTGCTCTTTTGTCCTATTCAGAACAACATGCTATTCATTCTAGCAAGCACAATGTTCATTGTTAAAAAGATTCTTTGCATACACACATTGCCCTGCAATTTAGCTAAGACATAACAGATAGGTACCTGGAGACCATATCTAAGAGTAAAGCTTGCATTGTATGGGAACCCAGAAAGCAAAGTGCTGTGTATCTAACAGGCAGGAAGGACCCCTGAAAGCAGTAAATCCTGAGGGGGTCTGGGGCAAAGTGTCTCTACAGTGTCAATGATGTCAGATTTGTGTTTGCTTCGCAACCGAGCTAAGGTGTCCAAGGTGAGGACCCTTGTCAAAAGCGCTTCTGAACTCAGTCAGCAGTTTGGAATACTAAGACTAAACTTATAATTTGGTTAAGGTAGGTTATTTATTAGTCTTACTTTACAAATGAGGCTTATCCACAGAACTTAATCTTACCAAGGTTCTTGCTTGAATAGAACAACAAGTAATACAGAAACTTATCTGCCTCTAGTCTAGATTTCTATTGACATTCAGTCATAATAAACAGCTTCCATCTGGGGGCCCAAGAGGGCTGCTCAAGTCCTAGCCATCATATCTGTTTTCCAGGGAACAAAAGGAAAAAGGGGAAAGAAGAATATGTACTTTCCAGAAGTTACACTGTATTTATTTCCTTGACTACAACTCTATAGGTATCCAGGAAAACACAACAGGTTACTAAGTAAAGAGACACAGTTGGCAGTAGAGGCTATCAACATTGTGATACTCAGATGCCAGATGAAAGGTCTTCAGATATAGATATATATAGAGATATAGATATAGATATGGCTGCTGAGTATTAAATGTGTTCCCCTTCCACAAAATTCATCTATGGAACCCTGTCTCCTTCATGTAGAAAAAAAGGACCTTCAAGTCATTGGGACTAAATGAGGTTATGGAAGTGGAGCCCACAGAAACAAGATTAGTGCCTTCATACAAATCATAAGAGCGTTTGCCTCTCAAGACTGTCTGATCTTCACTTTGTAAGGCTTTGAAGAGAAGTTGGCACTCTGGCTTCAACAAAGTCCAACTAGGCTGGAACCTTGGTCTTAAATTCCTAGGCTGCGTAATTTAGAGAAATAAGTACCTGATGTTTAGAAGCACCTAGTCCATGACACAGCAAGATTCATAGAGGAGTGGAAGCAGCCCAGGAAAAGAATTGTGTTGCAGTCAACAGAGCTGAAGGGAATGGGAGACATCAGGATCTGGAGTTTGCCCTGGTGGCTTTCAGTCTTGCTTGGGTCCAATGTCTCCTCAATATGCTCTTATTCCTCCCTTTGGAATGGTGATGCATATTCTGTGTCATTGTATGTTGGAAGTATGTAATTTTGACTTTGGTTTTACAGGGAGTTATAGTTTTCTAGAAAAGAGACTTTGATTTTGGACTTTTAGACAGTGTTGAGACTGTGAAAGACTATGGAGACTTTTGAAGTTGGACTAAACACATTTTACATTATGATATAGCACTAAGTCTTTGAGAGCCAGGGAGGGAAATGTGGTGGTTTGCATAAGAATACCTAGCCAGGTGGTGGTAGCATATGCCCTTAATCCCAGCACTCAGGAGGCAGAGGCAGGAGGATCTCTGTGAGTTGGAGGCCAGCTTGGTCTACAGAGTAGTTCCAGGACAGTCAGGGCTACACAGAGAAACACGGTCACAAAAAAATAAAAAGAACAGTCTAATTCTTGGTCCCCATATTGGTAGAACTGTTTGAGAAGGATTAGGAGGTGTGGACTTGTTGGAGGAAGTGTGTCACTAGGGGTGGGCTTTGAAGTTTCAAAAACCCAAGACAGGCCCAGTATCACACTCTTTCTACCTCATACCTGTGGATCAGATGTGAGCTCTCAGCTACTGCTCCATGCCATGCCTGCCAGCCTGCTACTACACTCCCCACCATGACAGTCATAGACTCACCCTCTGAACTGTAAGCAAGACCACAATTAAACACTTTCTTTTACAAGTGATGACCTGTATAGGAACTTCCCACAGCCTGGGATTAAATACTCCATTTGGTCCTAATTCATCAGCACTGAGGCAAGCCACTGAACCCCTACTGTGTACCAGGCACTGCATGTACAATGTGAACCAAGTAGGTACCCAACCTGGAGGAGTTGACAATCTAGTAGAAAGGTAGACATTAGGCAACCAGTTGTCAACA